GGGCCTATGATGAACGTAACCTATATTGCGTCAAAGCGCATGCGCAGAATGAATGACTACATATAATCGCTTAATACATAGAAAGTCAGCCGCCTTGTACATAAGCAGTTAGCAGTCTAGTATTATATAGAAGTCTGTGGTTACGTCGCTGCGCGTTCGAGTGCGCTCCGCGATCCCCCGTCGTCCGAGAGCGAGAGAGTGAGTTTCTCGCGCGCGAAAGATTTGCTCTGCCGCTCCCCCCCCCCCCCCCGTCCCCGTCTCGCTCTGTGCCACGGTCGCGGACGCGGCCGCGCGTGCATCTGCGCGCCACGTCCGTCTCGCGCGCGCACCCCTTTCTCGCACGGCCGAGACCGGATCCCGGGGACCCTCCTCGCGGGACGCTCGCCGATTGATAGCCGCTCGAGGGTGCGACTCCAGGCGCACGTTCTCCAGGTACGTTACACGCGCCGTTGCTCGCGACGTTCCTTCACCGGCCGACCCTTCCGTGGCGCGAGCCGACGCGCGGGGTCTCGGCGGCGCCGCGACGTAAAGAGAAGTCGATTTGTGTCCCTCGCGAACGTCGAGGACGAGCGAGTGCGTCTTCTTCGTCCGCGCTCGACCGGTTTCCCCCGGTATGCTCGCGCGCGACGGCGAGCGGGGATTCCCGTTTCGGGGAACGAAGTTTACGATCCCTTCGAGACTGCGGTCGAGGCGAGCGTGTTTGGTTGCGCAAAAAAAGTAACAATAAAAAATCGTCGATTTTTTGAAGACCCCGCGCGACGACCGGAGGGTTCAACGGCCGGCCGGCCCGACTGGCGAAGAGCCGACGCCGCCTCGTGAATCCTCGGGGTGTGAAATGCCCGAGCGGCGAACAGATGCCAGATAATCGACGCGAGCGGCGGAGATAAGGCGCGATGCGAGTCGATACCCTGTTTACGCGGATACGCCGGTGTGTTAGAGCTGCCCTTCGCCGCCGGCCGCTAGCTCCGTTCCTGGCCGGGGGCGACGAAGGGAGGACCGTGCGCGCGGAAGCCGCGGCGTTGAATTCCGGAGACGTCTGCCCCGAGCTAGACGGCGACGACGGCGGCGGCGGCGGGTCGAAGCGAGCGTCTCGCGTGGCCGCACGTCTCGGTGTGTATTTTTAACCCGGGTCCGCGCTCCGCGATTTTCCGCCGCGCCGCGCCGCGCGACGACCGGGCGTACCGGCACGCGGTCCGCGAGCCTCGAGTGCTGGCGCCGACGGCTCTGTAGCGCAGCGGCCACGCCGAGGAGAATCCGCGCGGGGCGAGTCGATCGATCCGCGCGACCGGAGGAGGAAGAAAGGGCGAGCGAGAGGGAACGAGGGTGAGGGCGGGAGCGAGACGGAGCGGCGCGCAACAGGTGAGAAAACGTGGCGGCCCGGCTATCAGCTGATCGCGAACGCGCGCGAGGGACCGGCAGTCTCGTCTAGCCCGTGTTTACCCGCTGCCCGATATTCGGCCGCGCCGGTGTCGTTGTACCGTTGCCAGCGACTGGACCGGCACTCTCACTCTCTACCCGTAAGCTCGTGGGCCGGTAGGCGGCCCCGTTAAGGGGATGCTGGAGTGATTCTGCACTTTCGCACCTTTTGCACTTAAAACTGTCTGTTTCGTGGAAAGATTTGTGTAATACACAAATTAAATGGCACGTGTACAGACGATCGAAAGCAGCTTGCTATTCCGGCTAAATTAGAGAACAATATGGCATCACTGAAACTAATTGTTTGTAAGTCTAATAAAAAATAATAGTGAGCAACACACATACTACATGTACTGTATGTATGTGTTGCTCACTATTATTTCTTATTAGACTTACAAACTTAGTTTCAGTGATGCCATATTGTTCTTTCATTTGGCCGGAATAGCGAGCTGCTTTCAATCTGTACACGTAAACCATTTAATTTGTATATTACACAAATGTTTTCACGAACTGACAGTTTTTAGGTTAGAATGGTGCAAAAGTGCAGAATCACTCCAACATCCCCTTAAGGCCGTATCAGACTACGGATTGGGATTGGATTGAAATCTGACCAACCGCAGTAAGGTTTACTAATCTCAGGTTTAGTAACTTTAAGGCTGATGGCAGAGAACAATCCGTAAACGCTTAAGACCGTCTCAGTCGTAGACGTAGGGCAAGGCAGAGAGGAACGTGTGTTGTATACAATAGCCTTTCACGACTTACGTTTCTCTCTGCCTTGCCCTACGTCTACGACTGAGACAGTCTAATGCCCGTTTCTACCAATGCAGATTAACGTTAATCTCAGCTTAAATTACTTCTTGTCTTTTCCAATTCATACAATTCATAAAACTAGAGAAAGATACAAAACAAGTTGAACCGAGATTAAAGTGAAACTGCGTTGGTAGAAACGGGTGTTAAGCGTTTACGGATTGTTCTCTGCCATCAGTCTTACTCTAATTGGCGAAATTTCAATCTAATCTCAATCACAATCCGTAGTCTGATACGGGCTTTAGTCCCAGTCTACAATAGATGATTTAAGCCGAGGGGGAAACCGCTGAGGGCATTGTGGTGTACAGATTTGTGGCATTACCGGGCATTACGTCTTGCTGAGGCATTATAAAGATAAAATAAGATACAATAAGATAAAACAAGATAAATAAGATAAAAGAAGATAATAAGATAAAGTAATGCCCACTGGGCATTAGTGGGCATTGGTGTACAAGATTTTGGTCAGCGGTTTCCCCCTCGATTTAAGCCCTGAGCCTTAAGAAATTGACCAATCACGGCCAAGTACGAGTAGAATACGCGACTGTGATTAGTCAATTTCTTAACTTTGTTCTTGTATCTACTTTTTATCGTTCCTTTGCGCGCAAAGGTGTATCAATGTTTCAAGTGTTTCAACCCACCGTTGTTCTAACAGCTCTACCACCTCAGTCTTACTGTGAAAAGAATAATACGCAATACAAAAGAAGTTAATTTTTGGGGAGGGGGGGGGGAATGAAAGCAGGTTGAGAAAATGTTCAAATTTAATGTTTATCGTCTAACAAGTGAAGGAATTTAAAAGTGAAGACAAAACAATCACGCGGGGATTTCGCAAGAATTTCACAATGATTTTGAAAAACACCGTCCCGTGATTACGTTAAGTAGTTACGCCCTTGGTCGCGCGGATATCTCCACGTTTATTGTTGCAACTTCAGTGTTTTTATTGACCACACCTGGCATTTTTAATAGTAAACAGAAAATTTATTGCGAAAAATATTACCTCAGCTGGGGTTTGAACCTGGGCTTCCCTATCCATACAGCACGCATGTCTAAAAGACATCTTTAAGACATCTTGAAGTCGTCTTTTAGACATTTTCAGCGGAGTATGGAATGTTTATGTGACTAGACCGATCAAGTATAGCCAGCGAAAAATGACTCGTCGATCGGTGTCGAATCTACACATCGACCTCGTCAAGTTGATGTCGAATTTGACAATGTCGATTCGACGTCGCTTCGACGAACCATTTCTCACTGGGTAATATTGAAATTGGCATATGTTTGTCGCATTGTCATGTGAAAAATGTAATAATATCAGCATTGAATTTTCTATCGATTAACTATCATATTTTTGCCGCGTCATTACGTGTCCGCCTGTGTTACGTCGATCTTACACACACCATAGAAAATATATAATCTACTAAAAATATGCCGTTAAAAATGATAATACGAACATTGGCTACGTTTTACTGATTAATTATCATAGAAAATGATTTCTCATATATATAATAATATATGAATACCTCTATAATGTAGTTATATAAAATACATGTCTAATGTAACCGCTATATAATCGACTCCGTCAATTTTTATCGGGTTTCATCATTTTCGGGGCGAAATCGATAACGGGCGCCCTAACGAAAATACACGCGGCCTATCGCGCCGATAAATTAATAAACCGCGCGAACTAGCAAGCCTCGTCGATTTATCGCGCGTAGTAAACCAAAGAGCCGCCAGTGACGAAACGTGCACACGTGTG